TTTTCATTCAGTTAACCACTTTCTCATTTCCCTTTGATTTCTTCTTTGATCTGTATTTTAATTAGAATTATGTTGTCTAGTATCCAAATATTTGGGGGATTTTCCAGATATCTTTATATTATTAACTTCTATTTTAGTTCCATTGTGGTTAGAGAACATACTTTGTACAATTTAAATTCTTTCAAATTTATTGAGACTTGGTATGTGGCTCAGACTATGGTCTATCTTAATAATATCCCATGTGCACTTGAAGATTGTGTGTTCTGCTATTGTTGGGTGGAGTGTTCTATAAATGTCGTTTAGGTCAAGTTGGTTGATAGTGTTGTTCAAGCTTTATCTGTCTTTACTGATTTTCCAAGTTTGGAAATTTTTTATTTCTTCAAAAAAAATTTTTTTCTCTCTTCCTCTCTCCTTTCATTGTTTCTGTGACATGTGTGTGTGTTTGTGTGTGTGTGCTGGTCTTTTTCTCTTTCATTTGGTAGTTTTTATCATTATATCTTCAAGTTCTACAGTGTCTCATCTGCTGTTAATCCCACTATGTATTTTTCATCACTGAGATGACTTTGGGTCTTTTTTAAAAAATATCTTCCATATCTCTACTTAGCATGCACAATCTTTTCTCTACATTTTGAATATATGAAGTATATTTCTAATGTATTTTAATGTCCTTGTTCTGCAATTCTATCATCTGTGTCAATTCTGGGTTTCTGTTGACTGAATTTTCTCTTCATTATGGGATATTTTCTTGCTTCTTTGTACAGCTGATGATTTTGTGTTTCAGGCATTTTGAATTATATGTTGCTAGGTACGTGATGAAATACACACACACACATATATATAATATAGACTATATTATAAATGAATACTTAAGTATTTTGAGCTTTGTACTGGGACACATCTAAGTTACTTGGAAACATTTTGATCCCTTCCAGGCTTGCTTTTAAAATGTTAGGCAGAACCAGCTCAGCCTTGAGTTTAGAGCTAATTTGACCCCACAGTGGACAAGTACTCTTTCAGGTGCCCCATTTGTTGCTAGGTAGCTCCACTCTGGCTGTTTAGAATGAGCTATTCCTAGTTCCGAGTAAGCACCAATAATTGATCCACCTGCTCCTTTCCAGTGGTTCTTTAGCCTCGGGTAGTATTGCAAGCATTTGCTGATCGTACTCAGCTGAAGACTTCAGGAGAGCCCTCTACTGGTCAACAGAACTGTTCCCTTTCCAGTATTCTGCCCTGCAAATTCTAGTTGTTTTGGCCTCCTCGAATCCTCAGTTTGGTTTCCTCTATTCAAGGAGACTGAAGAGCTTTTTTGGGTTCCCTTCCCTGTGGTGTGGCCTGCAAACACTCCAGGCAAGAAGCTGGGGTAGTTGTAAGGCTCGCATTTCTCTTTTCTAAGAGATTTCTGTCCTGTGTACCTCTTTTCCAATGACTGGAAACTTTTTTCAAACGTTTTACCTGGTTTTTAGATATTTAAAATAGTACAGAAAAACCAGTCCCTGTTGCTCTATCTTGTCCAGAAGTAGAAATGGCTTGTTGGATTTTGAACGTCTTACAGATTTTCTACATAGTGATCAGTAAGCATGTA